TTTGAGTGTCCGTTCTTATCTAATCTAAAACGAATAATTTTTATGAAATGAACCACTCCTCTCAATAAAATAAAACAAGTGCTTAATTTATAAATTGTTTGTTAATTAGTTTAAAATCTTTATTTTTTCACAAAATTATTTATAATTTTTTAAATTACATAATATTATCTATTAACTTTTAAAATTATACAAGTTTGATCTACCAAACACAATTTTTTTTATGAAAGATATATAAATTTAATTATAAAATAGCAATAAATAAAAAAATAATAACAAAAAAAATATATAAATCATTACATGACTATTATCAATTCCACCGAGTTATCAATCCCACCTAGCACTTGTTAGGATTTTATATTTTATAATTGGTCTAATACCATAATCAGCAGCTTGGGAAAGTCTCCAAAACCTGATATACTATTAAACTCTTATTCTAATAAATCTAATTAAAATTCTATTCTACATTTCTAATGGAAAATGGATCAATTGACATCCTAACACAAAAGGAAATAATATTTAGAATAATAAAATTCACTATTTTTCCACCCTTAGCTTCTTTTTGCGTCCACTAATATTAAGTAGAATCCCTCGTTACTTAAAACTTCCTTTTAGGAATCTCATGATTTGCAAATTACTACCTAACAAATTTGGGATTTTTAGCAAAAAATCCGTAGTGCTCGTTCAGGAAACCGATGCCTCCTTTGCACCGACTTTAGGCCAACCCAAGTAACGTCGGTACACCAGCTTATTCCCAGATGAAATGGATTCATCCACAACCACCATCTGCCGCCCACCGTAGCCACTTGTTGCTCCACCTTATTCCCAAACGAAAAGCATTCATCAACAACCACAATCAGCCGTCCACCATAGTCACCCGTTGCTCTACCTTATTCCCATACGCAATGCATTCATTAGCAACCACCACTTACGGCCCACCATAGCCAGTTAGCCACCCATTCCTCCTTCTCCATTCCAAGCTACTAACCCACTTGCCCTGCCATCCTTGGAGCCTTTACTGGTTGCTCATCGTCCACAACAAAATCTGGTAGAGAAAAGATTGTGCCTTGGGCCACCATGCCACTACCATAAACCACCGCTACACTTGCCAACCTAGATGCATTATTGGTCTGCAACAAAACTCCCACGGAGAGACCCACCAGAAAGAGAAGAGAAACCACCACCCACATGAAAAAGCTCGGAGAAAAACCAACTTTTTGTATTTTCATTCGTGCCCTTTCACACCAATCAAGAGCTTGCTAATGGCCAGAAAACTGTGGGGGTCAAGGAGATATGTCCACCTAACATAATTTTTGGTTGGTTAGATTAACCGAAGTCCATGTCATCACTAGTGTGGCACTGCGTAAGTTACCCTGTAAGCAACATGTGACGGGGCGGAGCTAGAATTTCTTTTCAAGACAAGATAATTTTTTATATATTAATTTATAAAATTTTTAAATTTTAAGGGTGGTGAGATAATTTTTCATATGTTAATTTATAAAAATTTTCAAAATTCAGGGGGTTAACGCCCTCCTCGCACCTCCCTCCCTCCGCCACCCGAAAGTAGAGTAAAAATTTCCTCCTCTTTGTTTCCATTACCTAATTAAGAACAAATAATTAAATTATACTCTAAATTAATTAAAACAAAACTCAATTCAAATAACAAAAATAAAATTATTTATGCCACATGTTGTTTACTTGGTACCACATAAGTGATGATGTGGATTTTTGTCAAACTAACTAGGAAAATTCTACGGATAAATTTTTTTATACAATTTTAGTTTTTTTATATAATTTTACATGTTAATTAATGATTTACTTTTTTCACTCTTCTTCTATTATATAATTTATATAAGAAAATCTCAATTCAAAGAAAATATCAATTTAGAGTGAATTTACAGTCCAATTTGATTTCTATGCAGTAATATTGTATATATATATTTTTTATTTAATAGTATGTGAAAGTTATATAAAGTTGTACAAAGTTGTACAAAAAAAATTATACATATATTATTATCTGAAATATATGAAATAGATAAAATTAATACAATTTTAAAAATTAATAGAGAACTTAAGAAGATTAAAGATTCTAAATTAAACCAAAAAAAAAAAGTGAATAGTTAACATATGATTTTATTAAATTAAGCCTAAAGCAATTTTAGCTCAATCAAACCATAACTTATTGTCCATTATATGAAGAGTCTTAATAGTTGAAGTGGCTTTATTATATTGAATCTCTACTCCCCTTCCCATTCCTTTCCTCAAGACTTAAACCACTTGATGGTGTATCAAAAGACCTAATCTGAAATATTTTCTATCTAGATCGACAACATATTGGTCTGAATATTTTTTTTTTTTGGACCGATTTCAGTCTAAATAATTAAGCAAATAGCACCATATTTCGATTAATATATTGAGTGAATTATCAAAATATGAAGTCGAACTAGACCATAATTGGTTTGGAAACTATATTTAGATTGGTAAAGGTCTAGGTAATCGTTCAAAGAATGGTGAAGTGGACCTAAAAATGATATAATACAGAACCATCAACATGTTGATTCGAGTGGAAAGAGCTTGGTTTCTCCTAAGTAAGGTCCTGAGTTCGAGTCTTGTGAATGGTGAAATAGGCACTAGGAGAGTTTTTCCTCTAATATAGGGTTTAACCTGACTCAATTCTGGATTAGTTAGGACCCAACGTAGTTACCGGATATTGGGAGGTTAGTACAAAAAAAAGAAGAAGATATAATACAGATTGGTAATAGTATGAAATAAGTAAATTTGTAAAAGATTAAAAAAATTTCCACACTATAATTAGTGTAAATTAAATTTGTCAATATCCAAATAAAAAATTTGTATTTAATAAAATTTAAAACTTATATTAATTTTGATTAATTCGTAATGAATTCTTAAAAATTCTATAGTCTCCTTTAAAAACTAGACTTCTTCTCGGTTAACAATAAATTGTCTATTTGTGTGATGAGGGACGAGGAAGAACTGCCTAGCAAAGGAATCTATGCAAATTTAAACAAACTATAAACAGTTTAAAATACTTTGATAGTGGGCCCACTGCCAATTCATGAATTGAGGTTAGTTCCTGCAGTCGAGGTTGCTAGAGGTCAGTTCCTGTAGACGAGGCTGCTAGACTCCCTAAACATTAATTCAGACCGTTAATGATCTTAAATACCATGACATTAACGAGGCTAGGGTAGACATTATTTTAGATTGTTAACCATCTAAATCAATATTTATTCAAACTGTTAACAATCTGAAATAATTTAATTAGTATAAGAATGTTAAATTTGTAAGCCACACATTCTTAACACATTTTTGTTGTGGTTCATATTACATTAATATTTTATTTATTATATGATTAGTGGTTTTTTGATTTAATTTTGTTTATATATACATATATATACACCATTTATTTTAGATATATTATATAATTGAATATCTAAAAGTTCATATATATATATATTAACGTTTTATATATCTATTCTATCCGCGATGTAAAATAAGGTTAAATATCTGTTATAGTTAAGTACAGAAGTTTATATATGACATAAAATAAATTTATTCATTACTATACATGCATATAATACTTGAAATAAGGCCTACATAGGAAGTGGAGGAGGGGTATTAGGGACGCTATTCAAGGGCGTCATGCCAAGTTGTGTGTACAAGAACTATAATGATGTCTGTGTGTTCTAGCACGACTCTAATAGATCATTGTATCGTTGATTAGGCTAGTTTAGCTGTTCTTAGAGACACTGCATAGTATTTTGCATCTTCTTGACCTATTGAGACTGTGGGTAGATTGGTGACCCCGTAGAACCTTGACTGGAGGTACCCACACCTATATCTTGTGGGTGGGTGTGGATGTCGAGACCTTTCAACTGCCCTTTCTTCAGCCCACTAATTGTCCTAGCTAGTAAGTCTCCGTCCACCTATGTGGAATAAAATCCTTCCTCCCTCTCTTTGCTTGCATGCTCCACCATTAATTTTTCCTAAAATCATATAAAATTTATGGGAAATTGTTAATATCAATTCAATATATATATAGGGGTGGGCACTATTCAATTCTACTCGAATTAACTGAATTTCTAAACCCAAAATAATTCAAAAAAAAAAACATCATATTTGGGTTTCAATTTGGGTATCAATAATTCAGGTCGTATCTGCAATAATTCAGATACATTTTTCAATGCAAATTATAATAACTGACTAACCAAATAGTGCCTCCTGTCAATAACGAAATAACAGAAATATTAAAGGGTATAATTACTATTTATGTTTTTTTTTTCACTGATTCATTTTCCCTCTTCATTCTCCTGCTTCTCCTCTGAAATCCCTAGCTCCCAACCTTCATTCAACCCTATTTTCTTGCTTGAATTCCATCCTTTATACCCCGGTGAGTGAAATTTCTTCTTCTTCTTTTTTTTTTTTTTTTTTTTTTTTTTTATGTTTTGATGAAGTCCCATGTGTTCATTTGCTTGTTTGTTAGATTCCTACACTTACAATATGAGGATTGAAGCAAGGGCAAAGATCAAGGGGGAGGGGGGTTGAGTAGGTTCCCTAGACAACCTTTCCCTCATCCCCTTCAAATCAACTACAATTTATGATTTCCACAGAACTTGAACTTGCACTACAACATTTTGTTTTTCTTTTTTTCTTTTTTTTTTTTTTTTTTTTTTTATTAATGAATATTTTAGTGTTCCAGTTCTTCTAATATTGGTATTGTTTTCATCCACCTTTTTCAAGTTGCCAACACAACATTGATGTTACTATGATTTATATTTCTGAATGCAAAAACCATTTTTCTTATTGTAGGAAATATGGCATTTTGGGTGTCGAACCATGTGTGCAAGTGGAGGAATTATAATAGACTTGGCATGGAGACAAGATCTATGAGTAGTGCTCATTTTCAGAAGCATTTAATATCAACGAAGAAATCGTTCAGAAAAAATATTGGAGCTTATGTTTATTGCTTGTATGGCATGGAGAAGGATCCTGCCTTGCCTCCTAAACAACATCTAATTGATGCAAGAGTGATCTACAGCCTTGCTCCTGCCCTGGGTCATAACCAGGTATAGTTGTTGGCTCTGGTGTTGATAAATAATATAAATTAACAGGTTAATATTTGGGATTGTAGAAGTTGAGTCAGTTTAAGTCATGATTTGGATATAGTTTTATTCATTTGATATTGAACATTTTGCTTATCTCCCATCAATAGAGGGACTAAATTAAGAGTTTAGGGTTACTTTCCAAATGCTTGAATCATGTGCAGAGGCATTGTAAAGTCAATATACATGCCCAACCTTTTAAATTTTCTTTAAAACTTTTCTCCTTTTTTTTT